ATGTCTTCTATTTTTTTATTCACTGATGTGCCTAGAATGGTGCTGGATATTTGTGGTGCTTAATAAATGCTTTAAAAGTATGTAACAACCCTTCTGGGCTATTGCCTCAAACTCACACTCACTGGTTCAGTTGGGGGGGGTGACTACCCCAGGTTCAAGGTACTCTGGGCATCCACATCCTAAAACAATAGACTACGGGCCTCTACTATTATGTTTACCTATAAAAGTTAACCAGGGGAGGGGCAGCTAGGTGGCACAGTGGATAGAGCACCGGCCCTGGAGTCAGGAGGACCTGAGTTCAAATGCGGCCTCAGACACTTAACACTCACTAGCTGTGTGACCCTGGGCAAGTCACTTAACCCCATTGCCTAGCAAAATACAAAATACAAAAAAAAAAATTTAAAAAAACCACAGTTAACCAGGGGACTCAATTAGATTAAAACAAAGCCATTTCCTGAGATGGCATTGTTAAGGACAGTAGCTGTGAAACATTGCTCTCACAAATCAGGAATATACCAAAGGACTTTAAAAATGCACATACCCTTTGGCCCAGTAATACTGCTACTAGCCCTGTATCCCAAAGAGATGATAAAAAAAGGAGGAAGGACCCACATGCACAAAAATATTTATAGCAGCTCTTTTTGTGGTGGCAAAGAATTGGAAATTGAGGGGATGCCCATCAATAGGGATGGCTGAACAAGTTGTGGTATATGAATGTGATGGAATACTATTGTGCTATAAGAAATGATGAGCAGGTGGGTTTCAGAAAAACCTGGGAAGACTTACATGAACTGATGCTGAGTGCAGTGAGCAGAACCAGGAGAACACTGTGTACGGCAACAGCAACATTATGCAATGATTAACTATGATAGACTTAGCTCTTCTCAGCAATACAATGATCCAAGACAATTCCAAAAGACTCATGATAGAAAATGCTAACCACATCCAGACAAAGAACTATGGAGTCTGAATGCAAGCATACTATCTTCACTTGGGGGGGGGGGTTGTTTTTTATTTCTCATGGTTTTTTTCCTTTTTATCCTGATTCTTCTTGCACAACATGGCTAATGTGGAAATATGTTTAACATAATTGTACATGTATGATGTATATCAGATTCTTACTATCTTGGGAAGGGAGGAGGGCAGGGAGGGAGGGAGAAAAATTTGGAATTCAAAATTTTATAAAAATGAATATTGAAAACTATCTTCACGTGAAAAAAAACAAATCAGGGACATATTGTGAGCACACACAAAGAACACCTTCACAGAGAGGCACACAGGAAATACATGTGACCAACACAACTCTTACTTCTAATACTGCAGGATGCAAATATCATTTCTTTTCTCATGGTAGCCTTACATTGTTCCACCCTGGGTACTGGTGTCTCCAAAGGGCATGTTGCTTCACTTGGCTGTGTGTGTAGTATGTCTTACTAAGAAATAACTCTGCTGCAAGACTTTTGTCAATAGGAGTGGGGAGAGAGATGTGCCCTCCTTCCTACCAAGGGGTGGGTCCTTCTTCCATGTTTGCTTCCTTCTCAAATGCTAGAGCTCATACTCATCAGATTTTGACACCTACCTTGACTCCTTAGTGTATCTTGACTTTTAAAAGATGGGGGAAGGAGCATGGCCATTCATTCTGCCAGCCAATAGCTAGCTCCACTCTAATTTCATTGAGCTTGAAGGAAAGAAACAAGCATTTATTAAGCACCTACTAATATGTGCCGAACTCTGTAGAACACCCCCAGCAAGGCTGAGGGCTTCTTCTTGAGGAATGAGGGCAGTGAGGTGTGTTGTCCCATGTGGGTGGCTGAGGGATAGAATAATGAGTGGAAAGTTTCCAAGTTATGCTTCAAGAATATGGCAATGCAAAAAAAAATGGTTGAGTCAAGTATTTATTGAGCACTACCTATGCCCAGCACTATGCCTAATGTTTTATAGACACCTATGCTCAGGGAATGACCACAGGACCAATTACTAGTGTAATTTCAGATACTCAAGGTGATCCAAATGGGTTGAAGGTCTTGTGAATACCAGAAGGGAGAAATTAGTTACCAGCATGTTTCTTTCTGTGCCCCAACTGATGAAGGAGTCTTTTTAACCTTGGTAGCCAGATGTAATATGTAACACTCCTTTTGGGCTACTCCCTCCAACTCATACTCACAGCTGGGTTGGGGGAGAAGTGACTACTCCAACTTCAAGGTAGTCTGTGCATCCACAGTTCTAAAACTACAGATCACAGGTCTATATCACAGATCTAGGTTACAAAATGGAGATATTTCTTTGGATGTCATTTAATACCTTAATACCTTATTGTCTCCCTGTCCATTATACTCTGTAACTTCATCAGCTGAGCTTAGAGGGAAGTCAGGGGTCTTGTGATCAACTCTCCTCCTCTCACTATAATATAATTGTAAAAATATTTCAGTCATTAATAATGTTAAGTTATAAAAATCAAGTGAAAACCCAGAGAGAGGTTTCCTCTTGCTTCATTTGTTCTACTTACAAGCATGAACCATAGAATTTGGACAAAAGGAATCTTACAGACAATGCAGTTCAACTTGCAGACAAAGACACTGAGACCAAGAGAATTTAAATTACTTGCCCAAGATTTCATAGGTAGTAGCAGACACTGCCTTTCCAAAGCAAAAAAAAAAAAATCTATTAGTGCAAGGTGGAAACTAGCACTAAAAATTACATGAATTTGCATAAATATTTTCTTTTATTTTGCTACAATCTGCACATTGAATAAGTGTGATAATGAGGAACAGAATAGATTAGATAGTTCCCTGCTCTACCATTTAAATATTTAATAGCCACCAAGCCTCAAATGGAGTCTCTTCCTGACCTAGATCTTACTGTTACTAATACAGAGCAAAAAGTTCATTTACATAAAGCATATAATGGCTCTGAGATAAATTTACAAAGAGTTAAATTCTAAGAATTCTCCATCCTTCTTATTGAACCCCCTGTAAACTGAACAAAGAACTGGGGAGATGGTGTGGATTTTTCCTTAATCTTTTGTATTACAAAACTAAATCAAATTCAGGGCGGTGCCCCTTTATCCACACAGGGGACGAGAATTGTGCGCAGTGCAGCAGTTCAGTAGCATTGGAAGTTATGTCACTCTCAGAATTACTCAAAGAAACACCTGAGCCAAAATATCATCTAATATGTGTCCTTTAATTTTTATTCTAATTGTCACTTGTATTTCTGGGATGGGGGGGTTGTATTTAGAGTATTCTATAGCTTTCCCTTGGTCTTGCCTTTTTACTGAAATATAGCTACAGACAAAGAAATGAAATCAAAATGAGATGCTGAAGCTATTCTTCTTATAGAATCTCAAAGAAACAGATAAAATAAACTTGTAATGTTTTCCTATATGTAGAAAGTTTGACCTGATGAAGAAAATCTGTGAACTACAAACTAGAAAAATAGCTGGTTGCCTTTCTTAGAATACAACCTGCACCAGCTGTCTCTCTTTGGCCCTTCTTTCTTTCCTCTATGCCACACCCTACTTGCTAGTCCTAGGGGAATGAATGGGGTCTGCAGAACACTGTAAATGATGCCCAGAGATCCAATACATCTCTGACAGAATGAAAAAAAGTACCTACTCAAGAAAAAAGCATGGCCAGATGAAGTGAATAAAATAACTAACCTCTTTCCTTTTTTGTTTTTCATCTGCATTGTCAAAGTAGTACCCTAATTTCAACACTAATTCTGCATTAACAGTCAATATTGACAATATATCCTTTTTACATAGCAAAACAACAACAACAGCAACAACACAGCACTCTGATTTCTGAGAAGAAGCAGGGACTGTCTGGGTTCTTTATGGGCTCTTGAGCAATTCAGAACCTATTGTTCAATAGCAATATGTACCTATAATACCAATAGCCAACACACAAATCCATAGCGCAAAAAACCCCCCTGATATTTAGCTAATTTGTGGAAGCTACAAATTTCAGTGTATGAAGGAAAATGATTACATAAATGCCAAGTTGTTCATTCCTGTCTGGTAAAGTATTCTTTCTGCATCCCACCTCTTGTCTTATCTGTGATCTCAGTTTTCCAGTACCTATTATTCTCCCAGCAAATAAAAAGATGGACATTAACTGTCCACACAGGACAGCTGTCACGCCCAATCTTTGTCTTATTTTCTTCAGTACTAAACCAGGAAAAGGTTGCTTTCTTTTAAGACACAATAAAACATACAATACATTCAAATAGAGTGCTATAAAAGGAACATTTTCTACTAAGTAGAAACTACTCCCTTTTCTTCCCATTTCAAAATATGTTCAGTAAACCTAGATTATTCTCTTACTGGATGTGTTTTGTTTGGTTTGGTGTGGGTTCCTGTGGAGAGTTCTTATTTGGCATTCTTAGATTAAATTCTTTTCCCATTTATACTTGTCTATTATTTTACCTGGCTATAAAATAAGGCTCAGAAATACCTTGGAATGATTTGGAAATAATTCTGCAATAAAGTTAGAGCTATTGTTGCAACTTAAAAACAAATAATCTTCTTTCCCCAGGTCCTCCCAAGCATCATTTCACTTCCCCTCACACTTCATTTTTAAATCTTACAAAAAGGTTTCAGCTGTCACGCTCACCTAATGACTACTGCAGTTTACTTCCTAAAAAAGGGAGAGAGGCCTGAGGCCAATTTTTTGTCCATTATTTTACTTCAACACAGACATTCTGCTTTTCAAGTAAAGAACTAATCCTCCTACAAAGGTGGCTTCAACTGTAGTTTTGTGGTTTAATCGGTATAAACTCATCCAACCACAGTCTTCTTCTTTCCCTTCTTCCTCCCCACCCCCACCCTCCTGCCACTCCCTATGATGGATGCTTGCTTGGCTAACTGCTTTGCTTGGTCTCTTTGTCTGAAGGATGCAAACAGTCTATGGATGCTAGAGAAAAAGGGGTGGGGAAGAGATTACCTCATCCCATGTCGTGTGCACCAATCACAATTCTCTGGTCTTGGCTTCTCCGGGCAGATTGAGGGGTCTGGACCAACTGGAAAAAGCCCTAGCCCATCCCCATGGTGACAGAATTGTATATAGGGAGCTGTGTTGGACCATGTGCAGTAGGTTCTCTTACATCGACCGCCTAAGAGTCGCGCTGTAAGAAGCATCAACCTCTCCTCTTCTTCTCACCCATTGACTCAGCAGCCGCAAAGCAGCAATCATGGTAAGGTGTTCTCTCTCCTTTCTCGTGTCCCCCCCCAGGGGCATTAGCTCAGTGAAGGTGGCTGATTGTGCTACTTGCGAATCTCAAGTCTATTTTCTTTGCAGCTTCTTAGCACAGATGCTTTGTTTGTGCCTGTATCAGACTTCTTGCCCTTAAGCCTTAGTACGCAGACATGGCGGTGCGGACCAGAATTGAGGACAGAGGGCTGGAAAACCAGGAGGAAGAACAAAGGAGAAGGGAGGGCTTTGGGGGTAGTGGTTAGAGACATTTCAGAGCCGCATAGGGCTGGTCACTGCAGGCCATCTGCCTGGGATGATGCAATGTCCTGAGGCTGGGAACCAGCGATAGTTCTACTGCCTCATGTATATTTATGTGTTCGTGTTACTTTCAGGCTGGCTGCTCCCATCCCCCTCCCCTTTGACTGCAGTCTAGGGTGGGGCGGGGTGCGGGGGGTGGGGTGGGGACAGGGGCATTGGACATACTAAGCAAAGAATAGGGTTCATAAAAACCAAACCAACAAAAATGAGAATATGTCATGTAAAAAAAATACACATTTCCCATGTAAAGTGCTGGTTTCTGTTAGCGCTTTTGGTAGAGAGCAAGGGTGGAGTAAGGGGGCGGAGTTTTGTCGGGTTTTGTGTGTGTGTGTCTATCTCTTTGGAATTGCTATGCTCTTGAGCAGGAAATCTTTATCATTATTATTATTGTTTTTGTAAAAAAAGTCTTTTAATAAATTTGATTAAAGATCACATAAAAGTAGCCTTTTTGCCCCCTTTCCCCCCCCAAAAAAAAACACATTGTGAAACGTCTTGGAAGCTAATCTCAGTTCAGCCTGGCAAACCCAAAGGGTTTTCTGCCTTGACAGCTCACCCAAAGCGAACAAGATGCTCATTTTTCAAACCAGGGTAAAGTGTGGTCCTTTCAGGACCCTGGGGAGCTGTCCTGTCTCCTCTTCCACCCGTGCAAGAAATCATGTCAGTCAATAGACAGTAGAAATGGGTGCCCTAAAGAAGATGGAGACAAAGAGAACTCTCTAGTGGATGTGATCAGAATATTCCACGAAGGCAGGATATACTGAAATGCACCACAAATTTAAAACAAAATAAATTTTTGAGTTTGGGAAGGATATAGGAATTCTGACTTTAAAAGCTTGTCTTTTCTAAGCACTTGCAGAGAAATGTCTGGAAAATATTACATGGGGAAAATTAAAGACAAAATAAAATACTGAGGTGGACAAAGAAGAATTACATTTTTCTTTCCAGTTCCCTCTTTTCTGGCATATAATATGGAGGGTCTCTTTTGTTCTGGTGCCACTTCATTGATTCATTTCAATTATTCATACACAGGGTCCCAGAAGGGGTCAGAAGAGAAGGACTGGCAAAATAATATAATGAGATCATGCAGCCAGTTGCTGAAATTAGAGATGGCTATGTTAAATAATACAGTAGGTGCAAAGCAGACACCAGGAGAGAAAATGCAGCAATGCAGCAAAGGGACAGTTAGCTTTTATTGATTTTAGCTCTCATTGAGTCTGGTGTTCCCAATTGGGTGTGGCCTCCCCTTTTCAGTAATAAAACAGATAGCTAAACTGAAATATCAAAACCCTGCTTAAATGGGGGTCCCACTCTTAAGGAGAAAGGGGTAGGGTAGAAACTAAGCTTTCTTAGATCTTGGTAAAATATTCCACGTAAGAAAAATAAGGTGTGGTGGACCAATTATCATATAATCCATAATTAAAATCCATAAACCCTTGACCTGTGCTTATTCTCCAACAAAATATTTCCAAAATTTCCACAAATTATTATTTTTATATTATTTTTTCACAATATGAACAATGGATTTGGACAATGTGCTGCTGCAGCCAATATAAAGCACTGTTCAGGCCACACCCAACTACAACATTAAAGCAGATTGCTTTCTGATACTTATATAATAAATATCAATTTCACAGGTGAACCTGAAGAATAGCAATACATTTTTAATAATACTAAAGAAAAGTTACATATCTTAATCAAGTCTAATTTTTCAATTTCTTCTAATTTTTTTGTTTTTCTGCAGCGTGAGTGTATCTCTATCCATGTTGGCCAAGCTGGTGTCCAGATTGGCAATGCCTGCTGGGAGCTGTACTGCCTAGAGCATGGTATCCAGCCTGATGGGCAGATGCCAAGTGACAAGACCATTGGGGGAGGAGATGACTCCTTCAACACCTTCTTCAGTGAAACAGGCGCTGGCAAACATGTCCCCAGAGCAGTGTTTGTAGATCTGGAACCAACTGTCATTGGTATGTTTAATTACAATTCCCTAAATCCTCTTGAAATTTGAAACTGCCAATGTCAATTTATAATGAACCAATCCTAAAATTAAACTTTATTTTACATAATTCCATTTGTCTGAAATGAGACTATTTGTAGGCTTGTTTCCAGCTTTGACCATGTAAAACCTTGAGGAAACCTTTTTAAACAAAAACAAATATCTCCTTTCAATTGTTCACCATTTGTCTTTATCTTGGCAGTTAATAAGTCAGAATGACTCTTATATTGGTGGTTTTACACTTTCTTAATTTTCTCTTTCTATCTTCCAGATGAAGTTCGCACTGGAACCTACCGCCAACTCTTCCACCCTGAACAACTGATCACTGGGAAGGAAGATGCTGCCAATAATTATGCCCGTGGGCACTACACTATTGGAAAGGAAATCATCGACCTGGTTCTAGACAGGATTCGGAAGCTGGTATATTTCATCTCAAAATGGTTTGGTGGGGCAGGGGAAGGAAAGAAGAGAGGTAGCTTCACAACATTAAAAAAAAGTTAACATATGAAATAGAATGAGGTGATTGATCCTCCAGGTTTTCTTTTTATCAGTATTGTAGACACAAAGAGGAGGAAGAGATTGAATTGCCATTATCATTTTAACAAAAAATTGAAAGTTTTTCAATTAAGAAAAATGCTAAGTAAATATAGCCAAGGAGAGATAGCAGAGGGAAATTAAGACCATTCCCCAAATCAAGGAAATCACATATCTAAGCACCCTTACCCCCAAATAGAGATAATAACAGAAAAATAAACATTTTTTGAATAAGATCTATGCCTCCAAAGGAGCAGGCATAGTCTATAAAAATGCCTTCTTGTGTTTGCAACATAACAAGAATCAATTATCTATTTCTTTGTTTCCTTTCTAACAGGCTGATCAGTGCACAGGTCTTCAAGGCTTCTTGGTTTTCCACAGCTTTGGTGGTGGGACTGGCTCAGGTTTCACCTCTCTGCTGATGGAACGTCTGTCCGTTGATTATGGCAAGAAGTCCAAGCTGGAGTTCTCCATTTACCCAGCCCCTCAGGTTTCCACAGCTGTAGTGGAGCCCTACAACTCCATTCTGACCACTCACACCACCCTGGAGCACTCTGACTGTGCCTTCATGGTAGACAATGAGGCCATCTATGATATCTGTCGCAGAAACCTTGACATTGAACGCCCAACTTACACTAATCTGAATAGGCTGATAGGTCAAATTGTGTCCTCCATCACTGCCTCTCTCCGATTTGATGGTGCCCTGAATGTTGATCTGACAGAATTCCAGACCAACCTGGTGCCCTATCCCCGTATCCATTTCCCTCTGGCCACATATGCCCCAGTCATCTCTGCTGAGAAAGCCTACCATGAGCAACTTTCTGTAGCAGAGATCACCAATGCTTGCTTTGAGCCTGCCAACCAGATGGTGAAATGTGACCCTCGCCACGGTAAATACATGGCTTGCTGCCTGCTCTACCGTGGTGATGTGGTTCCCAAAGATGTCAATGCTGCCATTGCCACCATCAAGACAAAACGTACCATCCAGTTTGTGGATTGGTGCCCAACTGGCTTCAAGGTTGGCATCAATTACCAGCCTCCCACTGTGGTTCCTGGTGGTGACCTAGCCAAGGTACAGCGGGCTGTGTGCATGTTAAGCAACACCACAGCCATTGCTGAAGCCTGGGCTCGCCTGGACCACAAATTTGATCTGATGTATGCCAAGCGTGCCTTTGTCCATTGGTATGTGGGGGAGGGCATGGAGGAAGGAGAGTTCTCTGAGGCCCGGGAGGATATGGCTGCCCTGGAGAAGGATTATGAGGAGGTTGGTGTGGATTCTGTTGAAGGAGAGGGTGAAGAGGAAGGAGAAGAGTACTAAAGTATCACAGGGATGCTGCTTTACAGGGAATCATATGTGTTTCAAACACTGACAAGTTTTTGGTTGATCAGTTAATTTGTACGTAATAGTATACACTTGAATGTAATTACTGTTCTTTAAAATGTGGAAATGTTGCTTAAGACCCAGGCTGGCCAGTTATCTGATGGGTTTTGAATAAAAATATTCCCTGTCTTAGATGATTAGTGTCTTGTGTTTTCTATTTTGGATGTCTGAAAAATATTCTACAACCAAACACTAAGAAACACTAAAAGGACAGCTGTGACATGTGACTTATACTCTCAATCCTCATCTTTCTTGACTTGCCATTGTGAACTATCCTTTTCTTACACCTTGGCCCCTGGGAGATGAAGGATCTGGACTACATGGCTTTTGCTTCCAGTTCTAAATCTGTAATCTGATGACCCTCTTAGATATTCTCTCTTCTCTGAGTTATTAGAACACTGCTTTCCCTTGGTTCTCCTCTTACCTTTCTGATCACTCATTCTCAGGCTCCTTTACCGAATCATCATAAATATCATGCTCCCTTCCCCAAAATTTAGGAACCAAAGTTCTATCCTGAGCCCGTTTCTCTTTTCTCTCTATACTTTTATTGTCATCAATTCCTATGAGTTCAAGTATTATTTCTAAGCAGATGACTCCCAGATCAATCTCCTCCCTTGAGCTCCAGTGCATATCAACACCTGAATACTGAACTGGTTGCCCAAATACATGTCCAAAACAGAACTTATTTTCTTCCTTCTAAAACCAATTCCTCTTCCAAACTTCCTATTACTGTTGCAGGCACCATCATCCTCCTAGTCACCCATATTCTCAACTTCAGCATCATCCTTGACTCCTCACTCTGATTGACCCGCATATCCGGAAAGTTGCAAAATCTTAATATTTTTTATCTCTACAACATCTCTTTAATCCATTCTTTTCATGTTGCATCTATTCTCACTACACACTTTGCCAACACTCTAGTTCAGATTCTTATCACGTCTTGCCTAGACTAGTGTTTAATCTCCTAATTGGTCTCTTTTCTTCAAGCCTCCCCCATCTCCAGACCATCCTTCACACAAATGCCAAAATAATTTTCCTAAAGCCTGACCATGTCACTACCCTACTTAAAAAATTCTGATGTTTCTCTATTGCCTCTAGGATCAAATATAAGATCCTTTATTTAGGTTTTAAAGTTGTTCACAACCTATTTTTATAACCCTATTATATATTATTTCCATTCCCAAATGCTATACTTTATCCAAACTCCACCAAATATGACACTCCATTCTCCCAGCTCTGCCATTTGCACTTGTCCCCCATGCTTGGAATACACTCCCACCTCTTTATAATTACTTGTTTCCTTTAAAACTCTATTCAAGCAAACCCTTTTAAGCAAAGTGTTTCCTGATTCCCCCTTACCCCAAGCAGCTAGGGCCCTCTCCCCCAACAACAACAAAAAAAATTAGGTTGCTTTTCTGGGCAAATCACTTACCCACTCAGTTTTCTAGGGAACTCTCTAAGATTACAAATTGCAGACAAGGTGACAGCCCATGCCATTAAAGGGAGTTTCCTCACTTGGAAGTTCATTATTCCAATGAGATCATAGGTCCAATCCCTTCCCCTCAAATATGAACTCCTTGAGGCCTAGGACTTTCATTTTTGTTTTTATAGCCTTAGTGCCTAGCACAGAGTTTGGCATATAAAAAGTAGGTTCTTAATAAATGCTTGTCAATTGACCCTCTGCCCAGGACCTCAGTTTCTCTGGGACTGGAATTAAGCATTACCTATTTCAATTTCCCTAGAGGCTAGAGCCCTATGCCCGAAACTGCAGTCCCTGATGCTTATCTTCTGCCCTTTGCCTTTTGCTAACTCTAACCCTCATTGCCTTCCACATTTTGGTGGATCTGTCAAATCCTTATGTCCCTGCCATTCCTTGATCTGGGCAGTCCATCAACTGACCACACCTTGGATCTGATTCATCTTTTCAGTACTCATCTCCTCATACTTTTGACCCTTCCTCAAGATGTCCAGTGACCTCATGCTGCCCAGGACCTCTGGTTAAAGCCAATACTGACACTCCTCTTGCCCTGGACATACCTCTACACCCTCCCTCTCCCCTGTGAAAGTCTTTTCTCAGATAGCTGTCCCATTAGAAAAGGCCTGAAAAACAAAGTCTCATCTTAAGATGCAGTGCATCTTAATCTAAGGGTCTCAGAGAGATTTCAGAAGATCCATGAACATGGATGGGGAAAAATTACATCTTTATTTTTACTAACCTATAACTGAAATTTAGCATGTTGTTCAATTATTTTAAAACATTCTAAGAAGGGGGCCTTTGCTAGACTGTCAGAGGGCTTCATGATACACAAAAGGTTGCAGAGCCCTTACTCTAAAGAATTGATGACTTATTATGGTTTTTATTTGTTGTTCTTCCTACAAGTATTTGTCATTTTGAAAGATATAATGCCTTTAACTTCATACTCAAGGGAAAAACTTAAGGCTATAATTTTAGGCATCAGCAATAATGCAGTGAAGTGTAAATTGGGAGCTAGGGACTTTATCAGTGTACCTTACGTTATAAAATGGAATTCAGATATATTTTCTGCATAAGATAAGCTTGGCTCTGCCCTGAGACAGCAAATTTTTACTACCTTCTTGTATCAACTAGTCAATTAATGAACAAACATTTAGTACCTCCTGTATGCCAGGATTTATATTAAATACTAGGGATAGAAAGAGAAAAACAAAACAGTTCCTGCCTTCTAATATTCTAAATAGGGTGACAACATGCATATATGTAGGTATAGACATGTGTAATGAGGATGTTCTGGCTCCCTCTCCTATAGCCAGGATGCTGCACATAATAGTTCAGTGTGAGGAAGCAAACCTCAGGGCTTAGGATATGTCTCTTCTCTATTTCCCCAATTGGTTGTGTTCTCCCTATTGTCAAGGTACTGTAACTAGTACCCTGGTTCCATTTAACCACTTAACATCAGTTAGCTTTATATTTACTTCAAAGATACAGCAAGGCAAATTGCCAACTTTCCCCTCAATATCTCTAGGATATACTCTCTCCTACTCCCATGTTGGCCTCTGGAGTAATAAGCTTAGTTCAATTCCTACGTAGTATTGGCCCCAGTATGGCTTGCCTGCCAGGTAAATCGTTCCATCAGCCTGGGGTCCTGAAAGACCCTTATGAATATCACTCCCTGCTTCTTTTCATGGCCTTGATACTGTTCTGGCTACAAAGCCTAGCAGGGATTCCAATGCCTGAATTACTGTGGCTTGCTCTTCTAAACTGTGAAACACCCAAGGTCAGAGACTCCGCTCCCTTCACATAAGATGGAAAAAAGTAAACAAAAAGATTAAAGAATGAGGCATGTTTTTTGGGACCATATAGCCTCAGAGGGGTAGGAGGCCCTAAGGTTCTACCCCTTACAGTATAGCTTCTCTCCAGGTTCTATAAGAAGTGTCATCAGGCTCCCACAGATATGAATGAAGCAAAAAGAGGGCTGAAGTCACCTCAGGCATCTCCAAGACACCAATAGCTTCTGCTATGCAAACAACTGAAAAAGCTTCCTCTCAATCATGTGGTTAGCCAATCAGAATCGGTTACAGAATGTCTACACAGGCTCCACAGTGTCTCTAAAGTATATGTTACCACAATTTTCACAAAAGCAAGCTTCCTAGAATTTTCCACATGGAGAAACTGCATCAGCCAAGCAAACCGATGGGGTCTGTGCATGTGCCAGACCCTCCTCCCCCCCACCAATTATATACATTATATACAAATCAAATATCAGGTGACTTTAAAGGAGCAGGCACTATAAGTGGGGGGGGGGGGAGGAGACTAGAAAAGGCCTCCAGTAGTACATAGAACTTTTGAAGGAAACCTGGGATTCTGGGAGGCAAAAATGAGGTAAAGCATGCTAGGCATGGAAGATAGTCAGTGGAGGGGTCCAGGATAGTGACATGAGATGATCATTATGTGAGAGAGACAATGGAAATAAGGGACCAGGTTGTAAAAAGCTTTAAATGTCAGAGAACATTATATTTGATCCTAAAAGTATTACAAAGCAAGTGGAGTTTGCTGAAAGAGGAAGGGGTAGAGATTGTGTGACATGGTCACTGCACTTTAGGGAAATCATTTTGCTTATGTTTAGGATAGACCAGAGTTGGGAGAGATCTGAGGCACAGAAACCAGATAGGATGTTATTGTAATAGTCCAGATGAAAGGTTTGGAATTATCGTACTGACTATGTGAGTGGAGAGGAGGGAAGCATATCCAATAGATAATATAGGATAGAAACAATAAGACGTGATAACTGTTTAGCTATAGGGCGTGAACAAGAGTAAGAAGTCTAGAGTAACAACAAATTTGTGAAACTAATTGACTAGAAGGATAGTGGTATCTTCAACAGAAATAGGGAAGCTCAAGATGGGGTGGGTTTTGAGGAAAAGCTACTGAGTTCTGTTTTGCACATTTTGAGTTTGAAATGCCTATGGGACGTACATTTGGAAATGTTTAATGAGCACTTAGCTTAAGAGAGAAACTAGGGTTAGAGATATTTATCTGAGAGTAGAGAAAGGGAGGGACAGACAAAAAGGGATAGAATATTAGAGAGGGAGGATAATATCCTGCTGGAGAAGATCAGAAGGGATGGGATCAACTGAACATATAGAAGGGTTGATTTTAGTGCGGAGGGTTACTTCAGAGACTGGAATAAAGGAAAAAATAGTGAGGGATGAAGTCAAAGGGTTTTGAGATGAGGAGAAAGGCAGAAAAGGAAGGTCATTGGATGGTGGTCTCAATTTTCTCTATTAAGTATGAGGCCAGGTCCTTAGCTGAGAAAGGATGGGTTGGGGGTGTTGTGGGAGGCTTAATGGAAAAGAGAGGGACTTAGCACTGCTGCTGTAGTGAGTATGGTAGAGAATCAACTGAAGAGGAATAAAAGGATTACCTTGTGAAGGCCCAGTTGAGATGGAATAACAAGTTTATTGCATTGAATCCAGTCAGCATGATTAAGTCACTTTCTTCTAACTCTGATCAACAGTTTTTGAAGAGAGAGATGGTGGGATGAATTCAGAGTTGGGATTTGGCAAGGCACAGTAGAACAAAGGAGCAAGAGATTCAAAAGTAGAGGATAAGCATTTATTAAGTACTTACTATGTAACAGGCACTATACTAAAAGCT